TAAGTGCCCCCCCCCGAGGCACTCGCAGAAGCCGCTCAACAGATTTTGCTGCCCGAGGCAGGGGCGGCAAAGACCCCCCCCAAAAAAGTTTCCCGTTCCCAAGGGTTCTCCGGGAGGAAAAGCACAAAAAACCCGATCCAGGGACTCACCAAGCGCCGCCGGTGAGGGGCCCTCAGAGCCCGGAGGGAGGGACAGGCCTGGCGCCCCGAGAAGCAGGGCTTCCCCGGCCACCGCCAGCCAAAGGCAAAGCGCCATCGCCGGCCTCGCTCCCAAGCGAAGAGCGCCTTGTCAGAAGCTCTTAAGAATCCCCACCTGAAAATCAAGGGAACGTCTCCACCTCCGGATGCGAAGAAAGAGTGCGGATTGGCTGCGGGGGGGAATATTCGACCAATGGAGAAGGCCGCCTGCGATGTCGTCATCCGCTGCCAGGCAGAGGACGCGCCGCAAGCCGGGAAAGAGCTGGAAAAGGAAAAAGCTCTCTGGAGACATGGGTTCGAATCCCAGCTCAGGCGCGGAAACCGACTGGGGGTGTGGAAGTGGTAAAAACCACTCCTCTAATATATCACTCACCTTGAAAGCCCAAGTACGGTCGCTGTTAGTCGGTTCTGACTTGAGAACATTTAACAACATCCTTGGGGTTAGACCACTTCAAAGGCATCAAACTGCCCTTCCTCTCCTATTTCCATGTCAGCCCTTGCAGTACAGATCAGTCCCACTTTGTCCTCTTAACTTTGGTCCTCCCTTCCTTCCTCGAATGTTTTCCTCATGGGAAGGCTTTCTGTTTGCTCTGGAGGGACATTTGGAAACAGAGGAATTAAAACAGGAGGAAGAGCCACCAGGCAACCTGGAGAAATTCAGGGGTAGTTTTGCTATTTCTGAAGGGACCAGTCCAGGCAACTGCTTCATCACTGACTTTGCAGAACGGTCTTCCTAGCCCTGCTCAAAAGGTATTCTTCTTTCTGGGCTCAGAAGGATCAGGGCCAGTCATTTTTTTTCTTGTTTCCTTCGGAAGGGCTGCAGCTTCTACCTGTCTCCTGCTCAGATTGTGTTTCAGAGTCTCAGTGTAACCAAAGGTGGGATCTGGGCCAAAAACTCTTTGTGAACTGGAAAATAAGAGAGAATAAGAAAGAGAGTGTGATCTGTCCCCTCCTATGTCTCTGGAGGAGGAAAAGGATAGAGAGGCAATTAAGGAAGAGGTAGTGAAAGTTATAGAAAGGATGAAGGAGTTAAAGGCAGGAAAAGAGGGGGAGGAGTCAGAGAGGGGCAAGAAGGGAGATAGATGTCTTCTTGATCTCAGAGAAGGAAGAAAAATCAGGGGAGATGAGAAAAGTAGTGTTGGAAGAGGAATGGCAGGAGGTAGAAGGAGAAACCAGAGTGTTTAAGATACCACAGAAGGAAGGATTGGGATATAAAAGTAGGGAACGCAAAGAAGTGGAGACAAAATAGGAAGAAGGAAAACCGATCATAGAAGGACTCGGACCAGAGGAATGGACAGTCTTAGTGTACCTTCGAGGACGAGGTCCTTGGAAGAAGGTGATCTGATCAGGAGCGGTTCTGCCAAGTGAGAAGCCACCTGAAGGAGACTGGTCTTGTCATCTCTGTTGTGGGACGATATGTGTGGTGAGGAGTGGCTGTTGGAGAAAACCAACAGACCAGGAGCGGTTGGGACAAACCTTCCGTTAAAGAAAAACAGTTGCGAAGAAATGTTGCCCTTGTTATGGTCAGATTTTCCTGTTAATGTTGAACATGTTGATCCCATTGAGGTGGTTGTTGAGAAACCGCCAAGTTTTGTTAATAAAGAGCTTGTATTTAAAGAACCCTCCTGTCGTTTCCCGCCAAAAACGAGGAGCTGTCAGACGCAGACAAAGAACAAGATCACACTCTTCTGACAAAATACCCAGCCTTTGCTCCAGCAAAGCAGAAAAATAGACTTTTCCCCCAATCAGCCAAGCAGACATTTTGCAAAGTAGGGAAATGCACCAATACAGAAACAACCCCTGTTGAATCTCTACCCACAGCAACACCTATTGGATCCCTCAGTCCTGCACATCGGAGGCTGGCCCGGTTCCAGAACAAGGAACAAGCTTCACACCCCACAAGGAACGGGGGTTTCCTCTGGCTCCAGACTTGTGTCCCAGGGAAACCTCAGGCTGCAGAAAGAGAGAAGAAGGGGGTCCTCCCCAGTCCTGCCATTGGGGGCCTGAGGACAGAGGTGCCCCTGTTCTCTGCTTTCCCACAGAGGCTTTTCTGAGAGCCAGGACACCTCGGCCACTGCCACGTGTGGCCTCATGGACATTTCTCCCCTTCCCAGTGAAAAAAAACCAAAACGACAAAAATACTAATTTTTATATACTTTTTAAATTAGGGAACAAAAAGAAAGTATTTTTGTATTTTACTTTTAATAATGAAGAATAGTTTGCTCTAAATTCGGTTGTCAAACATGTTGCTGAATTTCAAGGTAGTCGCAGAAATCCCAGTTGCACAGGTAGGCAAACAGGATGAGGGTAAGAGAAAGAAAGTGCCTTATCTTCAAGCTAAATCCCTTCTACCCATGAATTTCTCAGGGGTCGCTAATACTATTAGAAGTATATTCTATGATTCTCCCTGCCCTGGGACAGGATAAATGACGGAGGATTTTGGCCTTGATTTCCAGTAACACATCCTCACACTTGGGGCTCTTTTCTAGTTCCTTCACAGATGACCTTTAGTTGTAGTGTGCAATATTTATTTATCATTTCTTGTTTTATTTATACGCCACCTTTCTCCCTAAGGCGGTTCACAACAGTTAAAATCACACAATAGCAACAATTAAAACATTCTGTAGAAAACTATATATTGAAAAACTATTAAACATTGGTCAAGATTTAAGAACCGTTTTGAAGACCATTTAAAAACATTTAAAATATCTAATGATGGCTGTTCTGAGATATATAAAATATCTAAATAGTAATTACTGACAGGAATTAAATAAAATCTGTTCAGAACCATTTTTAACACACATTTAAAAAGGCAGAAGGATAATTTTCCCTTTAAAACCTTTTCCTCAGCAGCAGTTCATATATTACTAGCCCATCTGAACAGGATTAGCATCTCAGTGGGGATGGGAACCCACGTTCTCTAGTTGTTAAGTTGTTAAGCTGGCGCCCCACCAACAAGAAAATCTTTTTCATTTTGTATTCCCCCACTCAGTATTAAACAGCAGAAAGTATTAAAGTCCCTTTAAATGAAGGCAAGGAGACCCATTTCCTTTCCTCTTTCTTCTCAATGTTTCTGTGTCCAAATTAAGAAAGCATTTTTTCTGATGTGCCATCAAGTCAATTACCATAACCTTTTTTGAGGGTTGTTCAGGTAGAGAGTACAGTGGTGCTTCGGCTTAGGAACATCCCTGCTTACGAACATTTCGACTTACAAACAGCTCCGGTCACATTTTGCTTTGACTTGCGAACGAAGCTTGCACTTACGAACAGAAACAGGCAGGGAAAAAAGGCGGGCAATTCAGATTTCTAACTAGGTGGTGACGAGGCTGCTTTGTACTGTAGCTCTTTCACTTTTGGCAGTTAGAGAGTGTGTCGTGGTAGTAGTTGTGCTTCAGAGTGAGTGTCTCCAAAGTAGTTCTGTGCTTTTCCAAAGTAGTTTTGCTTCTTCAAAGTAGTGCTTCTCCGAAGTAGTTCTGCTTTGGAGTGACCGTGTGTGTGTCTGCGGGGAGGTAAGCTGCTGTTTTCTCCTTTTAAAAAACTGTTCTGGGTGGGTTTTGGCTGGGGCAGGTATGTTTCTGTGCTCTGTTGTTAGCAGGTTTGCTTTTATTTTTAGAGGTTTCTTCTTAAACCTCAGCAATGGAGGTGGCTTTAGTGTTTGTTTATGGAGTTTTTTCTTCTTCTTAAACCTCAGCAACGGAGCGCCTTCCGACTGGGCTTGCTGTGTTCTTTTAATTTTTGGGGTGATTTTTTTTCTTTGAACGGAAGAGATTAATTGGTTTTCAGTGCATTCCTATGAGAAATGGTGCTTCGACCGAGGAACATTTCGACTTCTGAACACCATTCCAATACGGATTAAGTTCGTAAGTCAAGGTGCCACTGTACACAGAAGTAGTTTCAAAGTCACTTCTAAATGCTTCGGAGTGTGTGTGTGTGTAAGCTGCTGTTTTCTCCTTTTAAAAACTATTCTTGGGTGGGTTTTGGCTGGGGTGGGTATGT